AGGTTTTGATGGTTTCCTGTCTCACATTCAGGTCCTTTATCCATTTTGAGTTTATTTTTGTGAATGGTGTGAGAAAGTGGTCTAGTTTCAACCTTCTGCATGTTGCTGTCCAGTTCTCCCAGCACCATTTGTTAAAGAGACTGTCTTTTTTCCATTGGATGTTCTTTCCTGCTTTGTCAAAGATGAGTTGGCCATACGTTTGTGGGTCTAGTTCTGGGGTTTCTATTCTATTCCATTGGTCTATGTGTCTGTTTTTGTGCCACTCATAAGTGTTTTTAAACATGAGGCTGTGATGCCGGGATTGGTGGAATGTTCGCTTACTAGATGTGCACAGGGAGTTTTCAGTTTTCAAACCTTTGGCGTCCGGTTCACTTGGTCCACAAATGACCGCTATGGCTCGAAGAGGGACTTCTGCTCAGGGCGGTGTCCGGGCGACTGCAAAACTAGAGAGCCAAATTGTCCGTTCTGCGGTGCATTTAGGACTCTTACATCTGGCTTTCAGTTCAAAGCAATCAAAACAAACGAATCCTGACTTAAATTCAGTGTTCTGACCAGGCCGTTGACTCCTGGAAAGGCCCGCAGAGACTCCCTATCTCGCCTGCCTCTCCCTGGCGGAGGTTAGATTCCTGAGCAAACACCGGGACCCATACCTTTGGATAGAATGGTCTACAGACACGATGTTTATGTTTCATCTGCATTAATAATCCCTCAGGTCTGGGTGAAGCCCTTGAAAGATCTTATAAACCATCGAGAGGGTAGCCAGTCCGTTAACCTTGCTTGCCACACTTCACGTTCTGCAGAATTCTCTCCGTAACGACTGCCGCCCGCCACGTGTGTAGCCTGAAATCTTCGTGGGGAGGGGCTAAGGGTTAACCGTGAGGCCCCTGGAGAATCCTAGAGACCCTTGGATAGCTTTTGGAGGGAGAGGATTCAGAGCGGTTTGGATGCCCCCGTCAACATCCCGAATTACCTGCAGCAGGCATTTGCCTGGAGAGCTCGCGGCTCTCAGACTTGGGGTCTGGGCCTGCACAGCCGGCCACGCGAGGGAGGCTGGCTCCGTGCCAATGAAATAACACGTCGATAACCTTGAACGCTTGGCAGACCAGGTCAGAGCCTCAGGTGCTGCGTGGTGACACTTCCCAGGTGTGCCCGTCCCAGCCTGTCCCTCTGCCCCCGGCATCCCCACCTTGACGCCCCTCCCACTCCCAACCTGTCCTGCCCACGCGGACACTC